GATGTTAACAATTTAAGGCCAGGAGTTTCGTAACGTCGCAATTTCTATGATACGAAAATCTATATCTGCCCTCATTTTAATGGTAATGAGTCCTCAAGGATTGTGACTTTAATTTGTCGTGGATACCGTTTCGTTCACAAGGGACCGTTTTTGTCTAACGAACGTCAATTCGCGCATTTAAATCATTCTATTGTAAAAATACGTCATCGCTTGTCTAACATGGACATCACGGGGTCGTGCAATTTCATTGTGCTTAGAGAATTGCCCAAAAGCAGCATAATTTTTCTAAGAAATCTGTTCAATTCCATCTTACGTCTTCACTACTGGCCATTATTGTTAAAATTCGCACAAGTCATTGTAATATTAAAACCTGGCAAACCTGCTGAAAGTGTTACATCGTACCGGCCAATAAGTTTACTGCCGCTATTGTCTAAACTCCTAGAGAAGCTTGTAATCAAAAGAATGTACGATTACGATATACTGGAACATTGTATACCAGACCACCAATTTGGTTTTAGGAAGTACCATTCTACGATACAACAATGCCATAGAGTTGTAAATATTATCAACACTGCTTTCGATTCCAAATCCTATTGTCCTGCAGTATTTATAGACATTAAACAAGCGTTTGATAAGGTATGGCATGATGGCCTTTTATACAAGCTAAAAAATATTCTGCCAAGTGAATACTACCTTCTATTCAAATCGTACCTGTCAAATCGATACTTCCAAATAAAATACGGCCAACAATATTCTGACCTCCGACCGATCAGCTCTGGAGTGCCTCAAGGAAGTGTCCTTGGGCCTTTACTATATATTTTATACACTGCAGATGTTCCTACAACACCAGATACATATATATGTACCTTTGCTGATGACACAGTCCTTCTCTCCAGCCATACCAATCCTAATACAGCATCCTACTACAAAACCATTTATCAAACCTACAGATCTGGCTAAACAAATGGCGAATAAAAGTAAATGAAGCAAAAAGCACTCAGATAAACTTTACCCTAAACCGCACTGAATGTCCACAAGTGTATCTGAATAATATTCCTATCCCTCAAGGAAATGAAGCTCGCTATCTAGGTCTTCATTTGGACAGACGACTCACATGGAAAACTCATATACTGAAAAAACGAAAAGAAATAGACCTGCGAATTAAGAAAATGTACTGGTCGCTTGGCAGAAATTCCTGTCTCTCCCTCGAAAACAAAATCTTGCTCTACAAAACAATAATAAAGCCTATATGGACTTATGGCATTGAGCTTTGGGGTTGCTCCTGCAAGTCCAATGTGAACATCATTCAACGTGCTCAGTCCAAGACCCTAAGAATGCTTCTGAATGCCCCTTGGTATGTCAGCAACTTGACACTGCATACTGATCTAGGTATAGCAACAGTAGAAGAGCGAACAATAAGAAGTAACGTACACTTTCTGCGACTTCAAGTCCATCCAAATATCCTTGCGTCAAACCTACAACAGGATCCCCCACCAAGACGACTAAAAATGAAAAATTGGCCCAGTGACCTAAGAGGAGGATAGTTGATACACCTTCTGTATAGGGATAACATCGCTGGATGGATTTCCCCCTCACGTTAAAAATGTCATCATATTAACTCATAGAACATGTATTTTATTTTAGTTCTGATTGTTAATTGAATATTAAATTAAAAAAAAAAAAAAAAAAAAAAAAATTATTTGTTTATAAGATTAAAGTGCAAAACTTTTGACGCAGAAGGTGATATTGGGTAATTATCAAAGCAATCGTTTGTTAATCTTTGCATAAGTATTTATTATTGTTATTGGAAGCACTGATATCGGTGTACCTTTAATGTTTACATTGGCATTTACCTGTAATTATTTCTCAAGTCATGCAATAAGAAATTCAAATCAAATGTCATATAAAATCAATTCAATAGCTCATCTTATTTTATTGAGGTGTCAAATTATGGAACAAAGGTCCTGCTTTCCTCTCGGAAAACCGCCGCTTTCTTCCTCCAAATGCCACCATACTATCTACTTTTCAGTACCGAAGATTTTCACCAATTTTGACTATGCACGCAACAGTTTCTTTCAATTACATGCACACTACATAGTGTGTGACTTGCAAGCGAGATAATAGCCCCTTTCGTGTTATCTGGTTATGATTTGAGAATCCCAATCTATACGGTGATTTACATGTCTTGGTAACTACCGTTGAAAAGTAGGCCACACCTTACTAATTAAATACAGTTATTTTGCATAACATAAACGATCTAAGTGCCCATAAATTTAAAAGTATAATACGGCACACACCATCTTGTATGCGCGCACGCTGTTCTAAAATAGAAAAATTCTTGCAAAAAAAACTACACGTGCAAAGATCAAGTTAAACTGGATCACATAACCTCAATTTGAAACAAAGCATAACCTCAAATCGTTCATGGACAAATTTCTCAATTTCCTATGAAAAGGTCCCTTATTGTTACCTATACTTCTAATGTAAATATTTAACGTGTTATCGCATCGCGCAAAATTGCAGCGATAAGTTATATCATTATATTTGCATAATTAAAAAACGGCGCTACCATCGGCATTGTTTTAAATCGGCGCTATGTAGGTTACTAGAATTGCAAATATGTAAATAATATTTCATTTAATTATTGTGTTATAAAATAACTGCTTTCTTTCGGTTTACTTTCACTGCTCACTTAACGGATCGTTTCTTCATTTATAAAAATTAATTACAAGTTTGAAAGTTGCATATACGTTAAGTAAAATTTCATTTGGTTAATTTATTTGAATTGACAATAGATGATAAAGCAGAGCTCCTGCTCACAAGCAAACAAAAAAAATGGTGCGATTTCTCCATGGTAACAAATCACAAGAAATTTACGAAATTATGAAAAATAGAAAATGGCATATTTAAAAAAAACAAGATGGCGCCATCTTGAGATTATTTTCTAGTTTCTATTTCCGTTGCAAGTTTAGAAACTGCTAACGAACCGGCTACGTGAATGACCTAGCCTGTATGGAGGCTTAATGGGATATCAGTTTAAAGTTACTGAATCCACCACTGGTGACTATAATTCGAGTATCCTACGATAACTTTTGATTTTCTGAGAGACTAAGACGCCCCCGCTTTTATTGTTATTCGCCTTATCTTTATCCTCTTTCTTGACTAAGAGCAAAATGTAGTCAACCTACTGTGATGTAACATATTTGACAGATTTTGAATTTTTTAATTTCATTAAAGGAGAAAAACGCACCCTACGCCACTGGAAATGCTTTACCGCGAATCTTAACAATTCAAATTACTCGATAACGAAGGTTCGAAAGTGAATGTGCGATGGTGGTGCCCCCATAGTGGGGAAAAGGCTTTTAAAACCATTATGTCCAATTCTACCCTCTCACCTGTGTGGTGATTTTTGAGACTTCGCTTTTAACCCAGAAGTGAGGTTTTATCTGGTCTTCTGCCTCTATCATCACGTTCGATTTTCACTTTCCTGGGCGATTTGGATTCTACAGGCCAAAATCTAAATCTAAAAGGTTGAATCGCCGATATAGGTGAAGATTGCCCAGCACGTGAAAAGTTATAAGTAAAAAAGGTTTTTCAATTAAACAAAAAACAGAAAGTGCTATAACTTTTGATCGCCACGTTGGATTTTTAATATCCTGGGTATAAGACCACGTTCTAAGCCCCACCTGGCCTCTCTCTGGCTACGTGCCTAGTTGCATTTAGATTGGTAAAGTATCGTGTGGTTGGGAGGTAAATTGATTTAGTGATGGTTAAGAGGGAATATGTCCACAGTTATACCGGATAAATGATTCGAATCAAAAATTACAAGTATGATGGGTACCTATGTGAAAACTTAAATAATCAGATCACAGATGGGTTGGTGATACTTGGAAAGCATACTAAGAAATAAGGCCAAAAATAATCTACAGGGGTGTATTGCAAAATGATTTGGCCAAAGAAAGCTGCAAGTTTCTTTTGGAAAAGTTTTTCAGTGGCACAAATTCTATTTTAACCTCTGCATTTAGTAAGCGCAGTTATCAGTTTTAAATTTAACCTTTTTTTATCCGTGTATTCTAATTAATATCCGGCTGGATACAAGTTTCATAAGTACGATACGAGTACACATAAACTTATCTAACAGAAGTTATTAAAAGATATAGCGGCCATTTTCCCCTCCGCAACCTCGATAAAGTACCGCACAATCAGATTTGAAAAAAAAACCGTCGCTTTTTCCACAGTCGGTGTAAACTGGGAACTTTTGTCACAATCTTCATTGGCCGCAAACCATATATTTTTAGCGTGACGTAATAATCGAAAATCAGAAATAGGTGAAAAGGGTCGTTGAGCTAAAAAGTAAACTAACTCAAAAATAGGCGCGAAACTTCTCCTTTTTTTATCGCCGTGTCGGTTATAAAAAGATTTTTGAAATTAAATTTAGTATACGTCTGCTTAAGAATAGATTGTGGACCAAGATTTAGAACGTTACTAATTAGGAACAATGATTGCAAATATAAAGTGGGTTAATTGTTTGCGATATGGCGATTTGAGGGGGTGTCTTTAATTTAAGTTTGCAATCTCTGACGTAATCTGGGGGCAGATATTAAGATGAACGTCAAATTAAATTAATCTGTTTTCGTCAATTTTAATTGGGTTTTTAACAATACACGTTGAGAGCTTAATTTCCGTCTACATAGGTTCGGTGACCATGATTCTTAGATTAAATTAATAAGATCCTTGTGGGTGATTTCTGTCGCGTTCCTTGTGGGCATACAGAATTACGTTTATACTGAAGTAAAACCCCAATAACTTTGCTAATATATAATATAAATAGAAAACTACACCCCAAAGGTTGCAAAAATGTGCGTTTCTTCTTTAATTTTTTCTCAGCAAGCATGTCACATAAACGGATAAAACTAACTGAGCCTACAGTGAAGGACACTGTATACAAAAATAAAATTCGTGCATAAAATTAGAATATTAAACAATTTTTGTTTTTACAGATGCACCAAACGAGAGCTTGTACATGATTGGAGGAGTATTGATTGCTATGTTCCTGGTCGGAGTGATCATCATCCTTTTGGCGGTTACAATTAGGTAAACCTTCTACAAAAATCGTATTTCAGCAAGTTACGAAACTGCCTTTGTTTGTTTGTATGTATGTAATAAAAATTACATCGATAATTAACCTTGATAGATTTCTGATTACGTAAAGGTGTAGCAAAATGGCCGCAGTTTATTCTTTGACAATAATTTCCACAACATTAACGCTTTAATTGCAAAAAAAAAGAGAAACCTTATAACCTAATTTGTTATTATTCAACTGTAATTTCAGCTATCGTTTAATTGTTGCAGAGAAAGCAGTCGGTCAGTCATATGTTGTTCACGTGCTCCCATGTTTGATGATAATTACTCACACTTTTTCTCCGTTATTGCTATTTATAGTTTGTGCCAATGAAAGACGAGGCTCATAAAAACGTTTAAAAAAATTAACACGAACTTCCTGTTCTCGCTTATACAAAATTTTTGTCGCTCGTCACCAAGTACCAGTCTAATTATTAATAACGTTCATCATTACCTATTCTGTGAACTAAGAGGAAAAAAATGGCAAAATGATGTAATCCCCATTGCGAAATTTTATGAGCCTTAATCAGTTAAACCTCAAAATTGGCTATTATTTTTATTGTTCATGAAACAATATATCGTAGCTTGTTAGTTTGTGATCGAATTGCAAACTGCATTGTTCCACTGTTTTGCGGTATAGTAATGTCACAATTAATGAGTATAAATCAACATTAAAGAAAAAGTTCTGCACAATATCGCACAAGTGATATCACCAAAATTTGCTTTGTGAAACTGAATATACGACCCTTCGCAAAAAGAACTAACTGTAGTTCACCGTTAGCGATAAAAAATTAAGCATAAAATAATATTCATATTTTCTACATTCTTCTTTTTTCTTTTGACTATATTTTCCGATATTTTCCTGTTTTTCAATTACATTATCACAGTCTCTTTGAAAGTAAAAGAGGATAATGAGTTACTTACAATCAGGAAACTGTACAAAGTGTGAAAAAATGACACTGATTAGTATTATTAACTAAAATACCACGAATAAACAAAAACATCTGTAATCATTATTTAAATTTCAAATTACTGCCTATCAAAGGGCGCTGTTTTAAATGTTTGAAACAGCAATCTAGATGCGGGTATGGTTCAATTTTAAATGCAATTATTAAGATTAACGCAGCAATTTTACTTTCCTCACTAGAGAGGAAAATCACATTTTCTTCACCCTTTTTAGAGCCGAAAGTAGTTATTTCTCTAAAGTAGTTTAAGAAAAAATTATATGTAAAACTTGAGAAGAAAGTGTTTTTCAACTCTCGTACTCGTTCATGTGTCAAACTTTGAACTCGAGTTGAAAAACTCCACTTTCTTCTCTAGTTGTACAAATTAACTATCAATCAAGAAACCACTTTCTATTGAAAATCCAAAAAATTATCGTATGCAATAATGAAGTTTGAGACATAGCAATCTGGAGATGGGTATGTTGCAATGTTAAATTACACTATTTGCAGGAATTTATAGGGCCTACCAAGGCTTCTGTATGCGTGGAGTAAGTGTTTTTTATTTTTATTAAAGAACAAGCATAAATTAAAGGTAACGCCGCTATTTGTAGCGTCAAACGTTCTGACTGAATGGAAAGAACAAACAAATTGGATGCAAAAAATTACCAAATCTCTACAATGAAGACTCTTTAATTAAGTCATCTTAATTTTTCTAATGAAGCTATAGAATTTTGGCGTGTCATTTTTGGATCAGTACTACTTACATTTTCGAAGTTTTAAACGTGCCATGCGAAACAAAAATTTCTCTGACGGCGCTTTATTTTTATAACCCCAAAATGTACTTCTTTAATTTTTTTAATAGGCAATTAGCATCACTTAATTCCGGTGGGAAAGGTTTATTTAATTCAATGTAAAAAACATTCAATCCATTGACCAAAAACACATTTGCAAAGTTGCTGCAAACAATGCTGTGGGGGACGCACCGTTTCTTCCCCTTTCTTTCTGGATCAATGTATTTTCCTTGAAAACCCCAAGCGCTTGTTTTAAATGTTTATATATTATTTTGTTTAGTGTTGTGGCGTAGAAACAAAATAAATAGAACAAACACATAAATGAAAAATGGCTTCATGGGATTAAACAAAGTATACCTTGGGGTTTTCTCACTACTTTTTAAGTACTTAATCTTAATTCCGTTTATGCATTTACTATTATACTATGGGGAAAATTACTTTTTGGATAAGTGGTGTGCAAATATGGCATGTCACTATACTGTATTACATGCGCTGCGCATCCAGGTTCGAGATATAGAGTATTACTCTGCTTCAACAGCCCTTCATAACTTCTATAAATATTGGGAAAACTACAAGACAATATGTCTAACGTTATCTAACCACACTCTATTTTATAATCTTACTGATAACATTATTTCTTCTCTTTTTGTGGAGTTTTCCACATTTGTTCTGCGTGAAAGGTGTTTTTCCTTTGTTCCTTTAGGTATTATCTATGCATCTTCTGAAGTAGACATTGTAAACTTTGAATGTCTAGATAAACACATTATTTGCCGCAATAATATTAATTTGTTGATCTTCACCGTGAATTTTTGGAAAATACCTTTCATAGTAGGATTGTTAATAATAGTTTTGGCAAAACTGAATTGTTGCAAAAGTTTTTTGGAAATCGCTTGGAAAACGGTAAAGACACTATTATTTGGTGGTAAATGAAATCATCACAATTTATACAATCAACAAAAACCCCAAGGCTTAGCATGGACAATTAAAAAAATCTGCATTTCGTAAATAAATTGTGGTAGAGCGGGCAGTCAATTATATAACGGGAAGGTAAATGTAAACATTAAAAAAACGTAATGAGCGGTAATTAGTGGTAATGGAACAACATTAATTAGAATTTTAGAAAGGGACGGGTCCTTCTTGTCTGGTATCTCAAAAGCCAAAAAATCGGGTATATTTAGTAGTCTATTAGATTATGGTATGCTAAATGTGATACAATGCAATTTCTGGCCGTCTGCCACCTCTCGTCATTCTCACCCAAACACAGTGACATTGGACTGGGTACGAAAATGCATATTTGTGGGGCAAATTTAGACACGAGCTAAAATTACATAATGCCTTTAATTATACGAGTCTGCCAAGCTTGAAATACCTATCGGAAAGAAAAGGATTTACGTCTGTTTCGGTTGATGTTTTGACGTCAGTTTTGGGAATGTGCAATAAATAAATACGCCTCTTGTTGGAATTGACAATGTTTCGCGTATCGGGTGGTAAATAAACGTTGTTGACGATTGAAACCCATTTTTGCCATCATGTGACCTGCGCTCCAAATTTAAGTCTGATACGCTGTTAGTAGGTGTGCGAAATTTGCGAAATACTTAGAGCGCAAATATAATCCAGATAAGCTTGCACTGTTATTAGTAATTATTCTTATTAATCAGAGCCTTCATCATCGGGTACGCAATTGTTACAGTGCTGCGTAACAGGTCTTATCATAAACGTTTGATATCAACCGATGACATGCTTTTATTGCAAAATTTTAAAGAAATTTACACGTTTAGTTTATCAGATTGCCATAGATCGCGATTATTATTGTAAATTTCGGTTTTAATTGTTACAGGATTTTTTGTGCTGTTCTGTTTTTATTTTCAAAATAGCTTATTAGCACTTTATATTTTATTGGCCTGTATTTTTAGTAATTATTTTGATATTTTGATGGATGTACTTTTTTTTTAAAAAATACGGGATAATAATAGTACGTACGAGATCGCATCTGGTCAATGGTCATCTGTGCCCGTTCACCAGCTAACCATCGGAAAGTTCCTATACTCACGTCTCATCAAAGTGTCGTCCCGCCTAAAGTGAGTGAAGGTTGTGACTTTTGCCTGGGCAACAACCTTGTTTTTATTCAAAGTTCCAATAAAGAAGGTTATGAGTGTTGCTACTGTTTAGAAACACGGAAAATCAATTTCCAAAACAGAACTTAAGGTTTTGGAGTTTTGAAGAATTGTTTATTCCCTAAACCTAAACAAGTAATCATCGCAACATATTTTTTCGCTTGTTATTCTGCACCTTAATGAGGAGTACAAGTTTAGAACATCTTGGCACAATGTAGTTGGAAAATAATCTTACAAACACATAACGTTCTTATGCAGTAATTATAGCTGATTAGCTGTCATGTTGTCGTTTACTTTTCGAAATTTCATTAGTACCTTTTTTTAAATGGAAAGTTACCATTACTGTCCTTAATTGTTAAATACAGCATTTCCAATTACTGGGGGTATCACAAATTACTCGTCTTAGTCTGGAAGGAAAATTGTATCTTACCGCATCTTTTATCAAAAAAAATTTGTTGCAAATATTTTATTTTAATGTTGAATTTAGGGCAATCTGTATAGCAACCTATCATTTTATATTTTAGTAGTGAATGAAAGTGTTTTTATTCAATGATTTTAGTCATTTTTGGTAGCTAGACTATTGTGGTAACACATTTTTTCGCAAAAATTGTTTATATTGTTCACTTGTTCATATCGTTTCTCATATGTTGCATTGTTTGTTTTTTTACAAAGACCTCTCTGGGTATTTGTTTCAACACTCAAATGTAGAAAACTATCGAATGTGATGCCTGCTAACACTTGAACGGATATCTACATACAATTTATACGCTTAAGATGGTTGCTAACATTTCTTTATATTTGGCTATTGTTATTTCAACATCTTCATTTCTTGTTTTAAATTGTTTTCTAAATTTGGTCCATTATCCAGTGAACAATTTGGCAGTGTTTCTTTGTATATAACATATTTTTTCAGTAAGCATGAGTTAATACATTGTAATATTAGTAGTACACCCTAATATTTATATCTGATAAACTATTGAGCAGTATCATTGTGAACTAAATAACTTCAAAATATTTCTCAGGGGTAATCGAATTCCGAAGGCAGAATTGGGGCTCCCACTTACTGTTTTCAAAGTTTCGATAGTCAAACTTCTGTCCAAAAATGACATGTTTTGATGACTTTA